TTGGTGGTTCCTCACAGCACATTCTCCTTTCTAGTGCAGCTATAGATATGTGCAGAATGGACTTATATCTGAGTAAGTGTGCTTCTCCCCAGTTTGGGACCATGATGATTTAGGAAGGGGATGAAAGCCTTCTTTTCTCCTGCTTCCCTGCTGACAACCCCACCCTCTCATCCATGTGGAATGGTTGAAACAAGAACAAACAATGCAGCAACAAGCCATGGGGCTCTTAGAATGGCTTCTTCCTGAAAAATGTCATCCTATGGAAACAGCAGCAGATTTGATCATCACAACAAGCTGCTGCGAGTGATAACTCACACTGGTTTTTACTTTCTTGCGAACCAGCTTGGTATCTAAAAAATACCTAGGCACTTGCACAAGTAGATTCTGTGCAGCAGTTGCAAGGAATGCTTTTGTGAATTGCAAGTCAGAATTACTGAATTTGCCTCCACCTGTATTCCTGATCAATTTCTGAATTGCAGTTGTGTGATCCAGTGGTCTTCATAGATATCCAAATATAGTAACAGTTCTTGGCTTTCTACACCTAGTAATATATATTGGGAGTTTACCAATGCATACTTGAGAGCGTGAAGTGTTGCAGTCTTTCAGAGGCATAGAACTCTAAAGCAAAGCCATGTTGCTTTGTAAGAGTGGAGAAAAATCAGAATCCTAAGATCAAGGACACTTGCAGACTCACTGGGTTGGGTTCTGTGGTGTATCAAGTCAATTTCAGGTTGTATGCAGAAGTATTGGGCCAAAGCAACAACGGTCTATTATTTCTGAAACCTATCCTATAGCAAGCAGAACTCAGAATAATGCACAATAAAACAGAGAAAATCCAACAATTCATATCCAACAAATAGAAAAGCAGAACAACAAAATAGTAAATGGAATCAGAGAAGTTAAAATAAAACCCAAATCAATCACATTGCATTTCCAAAAGGTATCACAGACTTAAAAAGCACTTTAACATGACGTATCAGTGAATTAGCCAAGAATTAAAAAGGCTGTTATGATAAACAGCATCAAAAGGGACACCCAAAGGAGAAGTTGGGCAAACTTCTCAGGGTCTAACTTTAATCTTCAGCAAAGTACACTGAGTTTCTGCTGAGCTGAAAGCAAATGTAAAGAAAAATGTTGCAGTTTTTATATTGACACAACCAGAGATTAATCCTGAGTAGTGTGCTATCAAATTATGGCTATACACAGGTGGAGTACCAATGTTGGTATTTATACAGAAAAACAGCCAAAGGGATCTATAAATAAATTGTAGTGAAGGGAGACTGAGTCGTCTAGCCCTAGCCGGGAAGAAAAAAAAGTTCGATCTATGGGAAGTATCAAGTTGTGCTGGGAGTTTTTGGGAAAATGCCATTGTGAGAAAATGTGTAACTTTCATGATGGATATAAGAACTGTGTGAAATAACTGCCCATCCACCACAGAACACCAATTCCTCCTCCCTCGACAAACCTGATCATGTGGAAAGGCTCTTAATTAGTGCAATTGTTGCTGAAAGAATGTAGCATTTAAATTTCCATGTCTAAACAAAAGAGGCATTTGCTCTGCCATGGAAGTCCAATGATAAAGCCTCATAATAGTGGGTAAATGTTCAATATATGCAGACAGTGCAAGTGCCAGCTTGAGCCTAATTAGTTAGGGAATCAAGAAGAATTTTAAATGTTAATTAGGAAAGAAGCATTCTACTATATGTGCCTAATTTACTGTACAGGATTAATTTATCTGAGCTAGCATGAAGCAATTAAGAAATCCTGATTATATTTTCAGAAGACTTGTATTACCATTCCCCTAATAGACAATGTATTGATTTATTTTTGCCCAGATTGCCGGGTGGCTTTACTTGAACTTGAAACATTTGAAACCTGCTAATGATAATTTTTAGTATTTTCAACATGCCAGAGCATTTTTCCACAAACCCAAATGTGGGTTGGTGGCAGGAAGCAGGGTTACATTTTTTTTCTAATTGTAGAAGTGGTTGCTTTTTCAAATTATAGCATTTTTCTGCTTCCACCATATCATGCATATCATGTCTAATTTCTCATTTGCTCAACTCCCAATGGGGAAGTGCCATTGGCCTCACCCTACAACATGAATATTTTTCAAGATCTGTATCACAGGTTACAAAGATAAAAGCAAAGGCTATTTAAAATGAATAAATAAACCTGCTTCTACTTTTATTGTAAAAGTAGCTCTAAGAGAGATCAAAGTTCTGTACAGGCTGATCTTTGCACAGGATACTCCGTATTCCACCTTATTTAGTATACTATGTTATTGTTGTATTCAATCTGTTTTCACATTGGACAGCATCCAGTACAGCCCTGGACCTCCAGTTATCTCACGCCATCAACAGGACCCACATCTAACTAGTATTTTCTCAAGCAGTTCCAGAAATGAATTGAAATCCCTGTTTCCAGAGCAGGACAGGTTAACAGAGCTCCCTTCTATGGCCTTCCCTGGCTCATTTCAGCATATTTCCATGTTGCTTCAGGAAGTGTTCACTTTCCGTTATATCAGCAGTGGGTCCTACCAGTGCCCAGGCAGCTTTGGCTGTTATCCATTGTTGCAGGTACATTATTGTTGCTGATATTTTTATGATCCTGTTTCCCTGGGGAAGCAGTATAAACATGGGAAGAACAAAAGAGGGCCAGCTGTGCTGGATCGGACCACAGCCCATGTGGCTCAGCAGCCACTTTCCCACAGCAGCCAACCAGATGCCCAGGGTATTATAACACCAGGTCCTGGTCACTTTAGATTTGAGGATACATTCGAAGAAACGAAACCGCCTGTGCCAAAACCAATATACAGCGTATTTATTGCAATAATGAAGTATGAACACAGACTATAGACGAGCGAAAGAAAGCTTATTCTCCCCCTTTCTGGGACCTCATTGGTTTCCTGAATAGGCCAAGATATATACTCCATGGGCCTCGGGAGTTGCTTGGACAAGCAGCACATCAATTCCTCTGCCCAGGCCGAGAACAACTAACAATGCCTCTTGCCATGGACTTCAGAAAATTCTTCTCTCCCTTGTTTCAGAAGTTGCCAGTGCACACTGGCTCTGTCCATCCCCTTCCCTGGCAGATTGTTGAGATGGGGCTCAAAGTATAAACAGTATGAACAATCCACAGGTTCACAAGCAATAAAACTAAAGTCTTTATTGCTACTTATCTACGAGATTTACAACTCTACAGATAAGCTCTACTATTGAGGTCTTTGCAATGCAGATGCTAATCCTTTAGTGAAGTCTCTAGCCTAGCTATCTTGGGACTAGCTATAGTGGGACTAGCTATCTTGCCCTGCCTTTCTTCTCTGACGGGTAACAAGGCTTGCCTTTGTTCCCACCTCCTCAGAATTCTCTGATGGGTTGCTAGGGAAAAGTCTATCACGGCCCCTTCATCTCCTGCGTCGTGCTCAGGAAGCTCAGCGTCAGGAAGGGGTGGGGCAGTCTGCTCAAACTCTCTCTGCACAGAACTCATAGTGTCTTTTCCCTTGGGGCTCTCTAGCTTTGATGTAGGCTCGGGTGTTTGCTCAATGGGCGGAGGGTCAGGTTGAGGTACAGCTATCTGCTCAGCCACCCCCAAGCTAGGTTGTGGGGTTGACATTCGGGTACAGGGTCCCAAGCACAAGACTTCCTCGTGAGGAGCTGCCTCTGTCGGGGCTTCAGGCAAGACACTGATGGGGGGGAAAGGATGTTTTAGTAAGGCTTTTTCTTTCAGCAAAAGCAGCCCTTATTTGCATAAAGACTGGGGAAAGCAGCTCCAAGGTAGGTACCTCTGGTGTACCTCCAAACAAGCTTGAAGATAACACAAGACCTTGAGATGGCAGTATCCCGACTTGTGGACACTTGGAAAGTTTGCTATACTACCTGTTGAACCTGAATAACCTCCTTCTCTGTCTTCTGGTGGAGGCAATATATATGGGCAGTCTGCAACCAGTATGCGGGGGTAATAGCCCTTCCCTGATTGTCACCCCCTGCCTTTGAACTTGGAAACATAGAAACAGAGCGAGTCAGAAGGGGTCTTCCGGTCCATCTAGTCTGACCCTTGGCTCCAGCCGGCTCTGCTCACGACATGCCCACCATGTGGACGTCCAGCCTATCCTTGAACACCCGCACCGATGGGGCCTCAACGACCTCTCGTGGAAGCCCATTCCACACCCTTGGGGTCCTAACTGTCAGGAAGTGCTTCCTGGCATCCAAATGGAACCTTGGCTCCCTGAGCTTTGCTCCGTTGGAGCGCATCCTGCCTTCCTCTGCAGGGGAGAACAGGTCTCTACCCATCTCCATGTGACATCCCCTCACATACCTGTATGTTGCCAACATATCCCCTCTGAGTCTCCTCTTCTCCAGGCTGAAGAGACACAGTTCCCTCAGTCTCGCCTCATACGGCATCCCCTGCAAACCGGCCACCAACCTTGTGGCCCTACGCTGCACTGACTCTAACAGGAAGAAGTTCCACTGACTTGATCTATTCCAGAAGCCCTAGTTTGGACAAATTTCCAGTTGCCCAATGAAGCCCTAGCATCCTGCTGTACTAGTTGTCATTTCTTGCTAGCAGAGCATGGATACTGCCCTGGGTACTGGATACTATCCTTGAGTAACTCACACATGGCATGTAGGTCTCATGAAGTGCAGTCCACCACATTCTAACAACTTGCCACCACCTTCTTGATAAGCTCAAGGAAGAAGGGGCAGCAAAGAGTTCCAGTTTGTCCAGGTTGGCTGCCAGGAATATTCTGGCATCTTTCAGATTCCTAACAATGTCCTGGAATGCTCAAAGGGGTCTGCAGATCACAGTGGGGCCCTTTGGGCATAATTTCTGAGCCTATTTTGGAGTCTAGAGCTTTCTGCTTGGGTCCAAAATAGACTGCCAGATCTGACAATCTTGTTTGCTATTTGTGGATAGCAGCCTCAAGAAAAGAAACTACAGGATTTGTCAGGGGTAATCTTTCTGCAATTGGTTTAATTCTCTTATTTTCTTTATCCCAGGATTCTGAATTTGATCCATTGAAGTTTACTAGCATCATTGAATGTGAAGAACCAAATAATGACCTAAGTAGGTTTCGAGGCTTCATGTGAGTATATCCTACAGTTTAATCAGCTATGTTGATCTACCTGTGTTAAGTGCAATTTCCCTACATATTTAATTGTATTTACTTTATTATTAACCTTGTGCATCACATTAGCAGTCCTCCAAAGGACTCTCTTTGTGGTTTACACAACAATATAACAATAAAATAAGTAAAACCAGTACAGCAGTATAAAAATAGCTATATAACAGCTGGGAGTTAAAACATGGTGAATTAAAATAATAAAATGGCATTAAGAATCCATTTTTAAACTGGATGCTGTAAAAATCAATTATTAAAAGTCTGGAAAATAATACTGTGTTCACCTGGCACCAAAAATTCTGTAATGAAGGTGCCAGGCAAACTGCTCCTAGGAGGCTATTCCACATATTTACTGCCTTCTGTATTGGAAAGAGCTGCACTAGGCACACATGACATATTGCATGGGTTTGCATGACAGGTCAAGTTGTCCTGGTGGTTTCTTGCCAGGATGTTCTGTTGTGTCATCCGAACCTTTTCATGGTATTTCAGCAAGATAGGTTAGTTTTTTGAAACCACAATAAGCAACAACCATCTGCTCTGTGGACTCCATACTTTACCATGGTTATTCTGATCATCTGAACCTGGAATCCTGGTTTCCATGTTTCTGTCACCGATTCTCCTGTGAAGAGCTTCCACTGACGCAGGAGCTTGCTCCGGTGTCGGACTGAATTTCAGACATGGTGTCTTATGTGCCAACAATGGAAGGACTGAGCAAGAATGGGGGAAAACCTGCTAGCATCAAAAGCACTTAATTGTCCGTCAGGCACAACAAGGCAAAAAACCATGCACCATGGAAACCACACAGAATTGCTTGTTGTGACATGTGAACCCAACTACTATTTAGTTGGAGGAGAGGGTTGATTGAAATTAACACTATTTGCATTTTTCAAAACTTATATTTTCAACGCCAAGTTACATTTAATATCATGTGTAGTTTGGCCTTCAAACAAAGGGAAATTACTTTAGCTCAAGCAGCCTTATGTCTCAGAGACAGAAACAAAGAAACAAAGCAGCAAATTACAGAGAAAGACATAAAGACAGCATCTATTATGTTTCACGGCATTGTGATTTTCTCAAGTTAAAGACAACACATATGTGGGAGCATTTGGCAGTTTAGTTCTTTTCTTGATAACATCATATCAGCTGGGGCTGACGGATTTCTGTATGATAGACTGATGCATGGCATTTTAGCCAAACAGAAAGCAATGCTTTTAAGTTAAACACACACATACCTTAGTGATGAGCGAATGTTAGCATAGCATTCCTGCTAAGTTATCCAGGGAAATGTATATGTTATTTGGTATTGAATGGCCTTGATAATTTTCTGAATATTATCCAAAAGCATATATGGAAATGCATACTTGAATGCATGTCTGTTACTGACAGAATAGTAAATAACCATGTTAGCCAACCTTGTAACCATTAACATGTGCTACTGTTGTGGCAAGAATTCACATTGTCTAAGAGTAATCTTTGTGCTTCCTTGCTGGAAGTAGTACAGTTAAAAATGAAGAAATAACTACTGGAAATTTGAAAGCAGAATGTTGATTGCCTGAGAAGTTTTCAACTGACGATGATCCAGCTTCCATCTTAGCCTTTTTTCCCTGCTCCTGTAACTTATCTGGCAAATGACCGTTACCATAAACACAGTGCAGTGATATCTGCCATCTTGGTACTGAGCAACAGAAGCATAGGGGCAAACCCCAAACTCTGCCAGTCAAGCGTTCAGGACATTGGGCTCACCAGCAGCAGCCTGACTCTTCTGTTACTGACGCTTCCCTGAGATTTCGGACAATGATACCTTTTGCCTCCCATAAGCAGAATTTTGAGTCCTTGGTTGTTCCTCTGCCTGCTGTGATCTCAGCATTTTATTGAATCCTATAATCAAGTATGTTATGTAACATGTCTATTGCAATATTTAAATTAATAGAAGAGCTAGTCTCACCTTCCCCAACCTGGTGCTATGCAGATATGTTCCTATGGCTTTAGGCCATGCAGCCTTGGAATGGCTTGTGGAAATTGAAGTTACAACTGTGAGGCACCAGCTTGGAGAAGTACAGATTGGTTCACGATAGTCCAAAAGAGACATTCCTTTCCTTCCATCCTTTCCCTCACTGTTGTGTCCGTTCCACTGTTGAACATTTGGGCAGCAGTCTTTCTGGGAATGGGAGCTGTCTTAACCCATGTTATCCAGTAGAGCTGCACAGATAAACACAGGAAGAAAAAGGCAAGCTTGTTTTGGATTTTTGGAAAATGAGTTGCTGCATCTCCTGAGTAAGCGGTTCTTTGTGACACTTCACGCCAAAATACACTGAGTTCATCTTTACAATGTCAAAGTACTTTTCATAACTTAACCTGGTAGCAGCTGATAATCAGAAAGGCATTGCCAAGTATGACATACACGAAGCAACAAGAAGTTGTAGTACAAACTGCTTCTCTTCAGACATTCTGTTCAGTCTTCTTTGTCTGTTCCATGCTTCCCTCCATACACTGTGGAAGAGGAAGACACAATTTCAGGCAATTTATTCCCTATCCCCGACATAAAATCATCTTTGCCAATGCTTAACAACACTATCTAGCTGAGAAGCTTATTTTTTAATTTTGGCACCACACATATAAAAAACCTCGCTGCCCACATGATTACCTTCAGGATTGTTTTTCAGCCTCAGTTCCCTTATCCGTGAAATGGGAATAATAGTTTGGCAACTACATTTAGTTTGCTGGTGAGAAACATAAGGATTGTAAATTAATATGTCCACTGGAAGGCCTACAGAAGGCATGATATATATGGATAGTGTAGCTAAAGTATTTCAGCCTCTTCCCAGAAGTTATTTTGTTGTATTGCTGCACAGCAAGTAGCAAGTGCTTACCTAATAATCAGTAATAATGGAATCCTCCTCTTCCAAGAATTGAAGTACACTATGTGAAATGCATGGTTGGCTTAAGGATTTATGACATTTGCCTTGTCATACAAAAAAATGCTGGTTTATCCCATTTGGAATTGTTGTTAGTATTACCACTGCTGCTATCACCATCAACAACATTATTGTTTCCTTTGCTGCAGTATACTCTTACAAATCAAGTTTTCTCCTTTGTCATTTGACAAAATAGAGATGGATAACAAGTAGCCCTCACACAGGAATCTGTAATTTCATTTACTTTCAGCCTTTCATTCATTCTGTGCTGTTTTCCTTGTGTATGCTATGCTGCCCTTAGCTTTCAGTCATTTTTGGCAATGACAGATTCCACTCACTGGTAGATTTTCAATATCTTAATCTTTTATTCTCCTCAGGGCAGTTCCTGAGAAAACCAGGATGTCCAGTCATCATAGTAAAAAAGTTTATGAGCCATGTAAAAGATGCCTTTCAAACCAAATACTGTATTTTAGGCAAGAATTCACATCAGTAACTACAGATTTTACAGTGACCTCACCAGAATAGAATCACTGTTTTCCAACTGTGCGTGTGTTTAAATTAAATATTTTTAAGAACAGGGAATAATATTGTCGGGCAGAACATAATGAAATTGCAGAGCACGATCCAGGCACCGGTCTTATCTTCCCCACAGCTTTCTCTACATCCTGCTCTGCATGTAGGAGTTCCCTGCAGCTAATCTGGCAAAATTCCCACCGCAAGTAGGCTTTTGCGAGGAGAGGGCCAGGTTCAGGATGAGAAAGCTGTGTGCATCAGACCCCATTTGTGAATCACCAGGAAAAGAGTACTAAATAGGATGCCAGTGTGCATAACCTTTAGATATGCTAATTTGTAGCCATATATGCAAATATGGACATGACTGTTAGAATTTAAGTGCAAATGCAAAGCATCCCAGCCTGGTGTGTGCCGGCTCAGTCTGCTGCCCAGGTGCTAGGTACTGATGGACAATGTCTAGGTTCCTCCCTGTGTACTCTTCTCATGGACTCTTTGCATGGACCACCCCCCCCCCCTTGAAATAGAGGACACCCTCCAAACAGATGGCAGTTCTCTGGGAGCCCTTCAAATAGAGGATCCTCCCGTGTGAAAGAGAGCACATCACCCCTGTGAGAACCTCTATCTTGCACCTCTCTGTGAAAGATAACACATGTCCAGCCAAAGGATCCGGAGCCCCCAACTGCTATTCAAGTAGTTTGGTTGGCAAGGCCAGTCAGCAGCTGATAACCCTTGAAATTCATAGGGCAGCTGGTGTGATGCAGTGGGTAAGGTTGTTAGACCAAGACTTAGAAGGTCTGGATTTTAGTCCCTGCTTGGGATAGTCATCCACTCTCAGCCTAACCTACCTCACAGGCTTATTGTTGTGAGGGTAAAGTACAGAAGAGAGCCTTGTAAGTTTTCTTGTGCTCCTTACAATAGGAAGCTAGGCAAGATATAAATGTAATGTTTTAATATTATTTACTACATCTCTATACTGCCCATAGACGAAGCTCTCTGTACACTGCATACAGTATATGGATACTGTAGTGTAGAAGGAGTTACAGTGTTCAAATTGCTTACAACATAAATTATAAAGAAATAAATAGCATTTGTAACTGGGTTTTTCTCCTCCTTCAATCACGCTCTTTGTTCTATGTTTTAAAGTAATGTTAATTTTATACCCATATATCCCTTCTCCTAGACTTCTAAGCTTCTAGCTATGCCCCGTTCACAGTTTTCCCCCCTCAGGCTGAAGTAGTCTATATAATATGTCAGCATTTTTGCCTTTTAGAAAGTCAAAAAAAGTCTTTTGTACGTGTGGAGAGGGTGGTTTGGTTGAAGGAAAAGTACTTTTTCTTTCCATGGCCTTTGTAGGGAATTCCTACTTGCTGCACCCCAAATGTGGAATCGCTGAGCAGGGTCAGATCAGCTGCCTGCCTAAAGTTTTTAAGGTAGACAACTAAGATGCATCTGTTCCTCCGGCCGTTTGCTTTATTTCAACTCCTAGCATCTTATGACTTGGTTATATTGGCCTGTTGAAAGATATCTGGATTATATGGTTCAGTCTATTTGCTTGGATTGCCTCTTTTATCTAAGCTTCCCGTTGGGCTGAAGCCAGCATTGCGGGAAGAGTAGGGTGGGTGATCTTCCCCTCCCTGCCCTCTGGTCCTAAACATGCTTTTCAGTCCATCTAGAGCAGATGCTCCGGAGCCCAAGGAAAGGAGGCTCAGGATTCGTTGTCTCCAAGCCTCTTGTGTCTCTCTCCTCTCTGCCAGAACTCTCCCTCTCCAAGGTGGAGCTTCCAGACTTGCAAAGGCAGCTGGTGCCGTTCTCGCCATGCTGGCTGTGCGTGGGAGAGGAGAACTCTGCAGCTGTCCTTTGCCAGGCCAGAGCACCATCTCCAGCCTTGGGGAGGGAAATCTGAGCCAGCCTCTGTGCTCTGGGATGCTTGGCCAAGGACCAAGGGATTTGCTCTCTCCAGCAGCCTGGGAGACTTCTTCCACCAAACATGATAAAGAAGTCACTTTTTAAATACATAAATAAACGGTATGCAGCAGTACTGATATTATGCTGAAAATAGTTAAAAGAAATCATCTTCCCAAATCTAAATTTTAGCACCATAGTTTTGAAACTACAAAATGTTCTCCAAGTTTCAGATTCACAGCAGCAAAAAGACTTCCATGCCAATAGTTGTGAAGCTCTGTTGATGAACCATATTTCCCAGGATTATTTTGCAGATGACCACAAAGCTGCCAAGTTTACTGTTTCTGTCTTGTCTGGAAAATGTAACGACGCACGTCATTAATGACAGCTATTTACAAAGAAGTGTTGTCTCTTGTTCTATTGCAGCATGCATAAAAATGGGAAAAAGGTTGCACTGTATAAAGAAAATCTTCTGTTAAGGGGATGTACTGTTAGGAACACAGAAGAAGTCTCAGGAATAGTAATCTATGCAGGTAGGGAGTGGCTACTTTGCTTTTTTGCTTTTACATTAAAATTCTTTTGATTGCCTCCTGCTCTGTGCCTACGATCATATGTCCAATTCCTTTGGCAGGACATGAGACCAAAGCCTTGCTAAATAACAGTGGACCGCGTTACAAGCGTAGTAAGCTTGAAAGGCAAATGAATGTCAGTGTGCTCTGGTGTGTCCTCATACTTATCACGATGTGTTTGCTTTCAGCTATTTGTAAGTTCCCTTATTTTTTGGTTACAATGCATAAAATATTGAACTCAGGGAAATGATAATAAGCAATTACAGATAAATAGTTATCTTGATTTTCCTATTGGAATGAACACGGGATACCCGCCAAAGTCATATATTACATAATAAAAGCACCAGGAATCACAATTCTCAAACGTTTTACAGTAAAACCCAAGATTTTAAATTTATGCTATAAATCCTGCACCAACTGCTTGAACCGGATCACAGAGTTGCATTAAGAAGAACAGCACCTAAAATGCTTCCTGAAAATATAGAGATGATGGGAAAGTTCTCCTCTGAACTGAAACAGACTCAGAAACAAAATCTGGGGGCCAATAAAAGCCCTTTTGAAATGGAAGGCGAGCTTTTTAAAGCTCTGAAATTCATCTGTAGTTCAGATTAAAATCCAAGTCAAGGAATAATTTGTTTCTCTTTCTCTCTTTCCTCTCCCACCTATCCTACTCACAGTCATCCAAAAACCCTCCCCAGTAGTACTCCATTCCCACAAACATTTAGTCCTTCCAAGCAGTGTAAGTGATGTAGACAACAACGCTATAAGAAAAAACAGGATTAGGGGAGGGTTGTTTCTCCCTTTTCTCCCCTTTCTCTTGATATCCCCAAAGCCTGAGGGATAATGGGGGAGGTAGTTCCTTTACATCCAATCACATGAGAACTGCCTGCTTCACTGTGATGGCTCCAAGAGGAAGGACACCCATCAGCTTACAAGAAAGGAGGGCAACAGCCAGCCTTTGGAGCTGCCTTGGATTCCTGCAAGGCCCTGCTGTTACCTCCAGTCACAGCTTGGCGGTAACAATGAAGCATCCCCAGCTGAGCCAGTGGTTGGCTTACTCCTTTCCCTCCCTGCCCTCTGGTCCTAAATATGGCTTTGCTTCTCCCCATTGGGAGAATCCAGCACATAGCAAAGGCTCTCCAGCTGCACCAGCTCAGTTACAGTGGCTTCACACTGTGCCATCCTTCAGGGTAGCCCCTGGGCAGCAAAGTAGGGTCCTGAGAATTGCCTGGCCACGTGGTACATTGCCCAGGAACCCAGTGGTACCAAGGGGCCATTCAGCCTATAGAAGTCTTAGTTAGGGATAATTCAAGACCCCATTTAGTTACCTATCCCTGGGCTACATGATGATCCACACCTGTTTGCATGCAATGTTCCAATACACACCTCACCTGAATGGCATAACTCCATATGAAAATAGGCCCAGCACAGATGGGTGGCTGGGATTCTGTTGTAGAGAACTTCCTTTTACTACAAGTGATGTGCTGAACTTTTAAACTGGTGCTGTTTTTATTTTTGCACTTGGACATTGTATATGTATTTTAGAAATTATTTTAAAGTATTTACATTTTGTTGACAACCCAGCTTGTTTGATGAGTGGGGAAAAGCCAGGAGGAAATTTTGCCCTGAATGAATGAATAAAATTGGATTCCAGTAATTTTCTGAGTCCTGAGCATTTTCAAGCTTGAGGTTTTTATTTTTTTTATGTCAGTGTGTGCACTCATGGCCAGAAAAGCATCCTTTTTCAAGAAAGGCCTGTTCCCCGAAATAGCACACAGCATTAACTATGTTGACTTTTCCACTTGATGTTTAATTTTTATTTCCATCTCTCCCACCTGTCTGGCAGGTCATGGAATCTGGGTCTGGCAATACGACGACAAAAAGAAGGCTGTCTTTGATGTCCCAGGTCCCAGTGGAAAATACTGGTCTCCATTTCAAGCTGCATTTTATTTATTTTTGACAATGATAATAGTTTTCCAGGTAACCATGCAATGTATTATTCAGATAGATTTGACTTGTTTCTGCTAATTCACCGTGCGAAAAACATCGTCTTTCTCAGTGTTGGCAAATCAGGTCACAATCCTGTAGCCCCATCCTTGAACACAAGTCCCTTTGAGCTTTGTGGTCCTCACCAGTGGATTTCCCATTTTTGTTTATGTAAAAACTAAATGCTGAAGCTGAGGAGGCAAAGATACCCAGTCTTGGAAATGTTTGAAGTCTCACCTTGGGCGGAAGCAAATAAGCGCCATGGCAGACTCACTAGTTCTCTAAGCTGCACTCGGGTTATTTCTACTGTTGGCCCTCCTAGGGTGACATGCAAGAATGCTTGGTTCTCACATGCACACGTCCATCCACAGATGAGGAAGTAGCCACGGGCCACACTGTCCTCATAGCAGTGACCTCCAAGAACGGAGAGGCTGCCCAGATCCCTGCATTCTGGCAGCACTGCTTGATCCATGGCATAGTCGAAGTGTGGACTTTGTTGCCCCAAGAGATGGCCACCAACTGGATGACTTTAAACTGGGACTGGACCACTTGATGGAGGAGAAGCTGTTAGTGGCTGCTGCTCCTGATGGCATCATGCTGCCTCCAGTGTGGGAGGCACTCTGCCTGTGTGCACCAGTTGTGGGAGAACTTGAGTAAGAGGGTTCTGTTGCCCAGTTGGGAGTTTTCTTTTGCAAGGAGGTTGGCCATTGTGTGAACAGAATGTACATGGGCCTTTAGTCTGATCCAGCACAGCTCATGCCTTCTTAAGATTCTTCGGTATTAAGAAGGCAGAGTCTTTTCTGAGAGCACAGTCTCCGTTTGACATCAGTGAGATGGTAGAGGAATGGAGCTCTGTAGTGATGGGAACAGATATTTATTCCAAAGACTGCATATCACCCCTTGCCATCCTTGTGGTGTATAAGATGAGAAGGAGCGTCTAGGTAATTTTAGGTCCTGGATAGGTCAGAGAGCCCTGGTTAGACAGCCTCGAAGAGGCTTTCACTTGGCAAGGATGCATTTCTGTCCCGCATCCCATCCCATTCCATGTCCACAATTGTTTCCAATTCCTAAACAGTGAGAGCAGAAAAAAAGGCCAAGCCGTTTACTCACCATGATAAAAGAAGAAATGCTCTGTGAATGTGCAGTTTTGCATTTTAAATGCAAAATTATCCCATTCTGAGTACAGAGAGAAAATGGAGTTTGAATCTGCTGTGCTAATACTACATGTAATTACTTGGGATTAGCACCACGTTGTTGCGGGAGAGGATAATATATTTTTTTAAGTAAAACTAAGAAAATTAGCAACTATGAGCATGTACATGTCAGCGGGCCCTACATATAAAATGTTTGCAAAAATAAGGAAGGAAGGGTGGTTTTGGCAACCAGCACCAGCTGCAGCTGCCTTGGATTCCTGTATGCCCAGGTGCCCACACAAGCCCCATCACTTGCCATTTCCTAAGTAGTCATTTGGAAGCCCCAGACCTTGCCTCTGAACTCCAGCCTTAGCTGAACCACTGGATGTATCAGCTGCAACTTCATCCATTTCTGAAGGTTTTACCAGCCATTATTTTCCCTTGATGCTTGCCTTGAGGAGTAGAAGCTCCCACTAGCCAAGGGCTGAGGAGCACCTGCAGCACCACTTGTTTCTGGCCTTCCCTTCATCACTTAGCTGCAAGCGCATCACAGTTTGCTGGCAGGCCTGGCCCCCTCCAGAAGAACTTCTCTACTTAGAACTTCTCTGTACTTGGGGGAAAGAATGCATTCAGAAGAAAAAATTGCCCTCCACTGTGAATAAAGCCTTTTGTTGGGTTAAAAAAATCCATTGGGAAATTGCTAAAAAGAAAATCTCTGGAAAAAGATCTCTGACTGCAACACTTTTCTCAGCAATTACGAAAAGTGTTGTTCATTTGCACAAAACACACTGCTGCAAAGATTGCTTTCTGCAGAGAACTAAACTATGTCTCCTTCATTCAATTCTGGTTGGAGAGCTAATTTAGAAGCCTTATGTATACAGATAAAATTTGAGGACTGTTAATTCAGAATTTTTCCTTTTGCAAAATCTTTTGTGCTGGCATGATTCTGACTGCACTCTCTCTTTCCCCACTCCCTCCACCCCTTACAACCTTTTCCTTCTTCTTTTCCTAGCTTCTTTCAAGCTCATCTTATTATCCTGAAAACATTTGCTTCTCTCCAAGCTTTGATAATAATACCACCCGGCATAATTATGGATATCAACTCTACAACTGCTCCATAGGCTTTCCTAATCTGTCACAGTAAACCTTTGCAGATCTTCTAATAACTTTACAATGTTGGCTTTAAGTCAGGCTATATAAATTCTAAAAAGGTACGGTACAATGCTGCAATTGATTCAATTACACATCTTTTCTACCACCTTTGCCATTTTTCTGTTAATGACCCTGCATTTTTATGCATTTCAGGTCCTCATTCCAATTTCTTTGTATGTCTCCATTGAAGTCGTTAAAGTGTGCCAAGTGTTTTTTATTCATCAAGATAAGGATTTATTTGATGAAGAGACAGACCTCCAGCTCCAGTGTCGAGCTTTGAACATCACAGAAGATTTAGGGCAGATTCAGTATATATTTTCAGACAAGACTGGGACTCTTACTGAGAATAAAATGGTTTTCCGCAGATGCACTGTTTCTGGCATAGAATATTCCCATGATGCTAATGGTAGGTATAATACCTTTTCATTTAATTTCATGCCTCTGACATTCACGTTCCTCTTAAAAGTCGAACAAGTTATTTTAGAAGTGTAAACAAAGGGAAAGGCATCCACCATGTAAGCCAAGGCTGTTGAACCTCTTTCAGCATGCAACCCATATTCCATTTCAGGAATTGCCTTCAGGAGCTGTATTGCAGGGGAAGGTGAGGCTGAGTGCAAAGTGGATGGACCCAAAATCCAAAAGTACCAGCGAATTTTAGCTTCAAGCCATTACTGGCATTAACCAACCCTCAGAAGAGGCATTTCAAGCTTTTAGAATAGTGTGAGAACACCAGAAAACCAGCAGGCAATCACTGGTTAAAGAAAGGGAGTGAACTGGGGCCCCAAGAGGGCCAGATTTTGTTCCTTGGCCTGAGTTTTTGCAGTGTGATATGCTGAGAAATATTACCCAACACTTCCAGTGATTCCCGCCATGCTAACATGAATGCAAGGAGGAGGCATGCTGATAATAAAGCTCAGCCTCTACTTGGTTGATTCCATGGAAATCTGTTGGAAGAGCTGATGGACATCAGTAGTTAGTACGTGACCATTTCGGTGGTAGACTGACTGCTTGGCATGCATCAGGCTCCTGGTTCTGTTATTAGTATCTCAGGAAGCTGAGCCACTGGGCACCTCTCCCTGAGGCTTGGGAACACCACTGTGAGGCAGAGTCGGCAAGACGGGCTTAGATGGACTGACTTGGATGGATCTGGTTTGGTACCAGATGGCACCATCTTCTCTCTATTCAGAACCTCAGACCGATCCATCTTAAGAGTCTAACCAGCCCTTGGAATAATCGCATGGTTACACAGTCTTGGAATTCTTGGAGCACAGGACTCTCCCAATCCCAAATGTTTAGGACTAGAGCTCCCAATATTCCTGAGACCACTGGCCATGCCTCATGGGAGCTGGTGGGAGTTGAAGTCCAAAACATCTGGAGGGCACCAGGGAGCATTTTGGTTGCCATCTTATGTGGCATGGTTCAGTAGTCCTTTACCCAACCCAGACTTTAACCACAGCCTTGTTTGTGGCCTTTGTTTGGGTTCTACCTTCAGAGTCACCTTTCCCTGATAATGCTCCCAGCACCCTCTCCAGAAGCTAAAATCACAGCATGCTTGCAAGAGTGTGATCACACTCCTCTCTAATTTTATTGTCTTCACTGCAGAGCACTGAACAGCAGGCATACAGCATGAAAGCCTCCAAAAGAAAGTTGCCCAAAGCAGAAGTCTACACTCATACTATTATGGTTTTCACCATGAATGCACACAGAGCAAGAAAGGGTTCTTAACGGTCTCCACTTGGAGTGCCCATATCCTTAATCCTTGCCCTAGCAAAGCAAAACAAAATCACTCCTGGCATGCCCTTTCTATAGACTCACTGAAGTCTGGGCAGAGCTGTCTACTATATTTTACAATGTGGTGAGTCAGCAAGGCTCTTTGAGATTTCATGTTAATTTTCTCACAGCTTCCTTCCAGCCAATTTAAAGTTACACAGTCCTGTCTGAAACAAACCAACAGGGCAATTATCCCAACAAAGCAACCAAATGTAATGAAGGAATTGGGATAAATCAGCCAGTGAAAGTAGAAGATTATTCCAGAGAGGTCTAAACAATGTAATTTATATCTGTAAACCTGCAAATTTGCAAATGAAAGCAGTGAGCAACAATATGTTGTGCTAAAATTTGGGTATATCTAACAGGAGGCAGTACCAAATAGATCTAGTGGTCTAGTATATAAAATGCAAAGGCTTATGTGAACACATACTTATTTCTAGAGGGAGATAGTGGTGATCTAAGCCTCTCCCTCCATTATTCATTGTATAAAACTATGGTGTCTCTACTTTATCAGTTACCAAGTTGTGGACCATAGCTGTCCAAAACTGCTATAAGTGCATACCTGGACAGAGCCATACCTAGAAATTTAAAGACCAAGCATGGCCTTAAGCTCCACTGAAGAGTTCTGATGTAGGCAGAGCCATCCAGAAAAATCAAAGTGCATTATAGGCGCACAGAGCCTTTCCCTGGTAGGAACCAGCAGACTGTGTGTGGACTTGGCATCACAGCATACGCTGGTTTGTTGTTCATGTTTGTAAACCTGCAAGTCTGCAGATAAAAATTGTATTCTTAGACCTTTATGAAATAATCCTCTATTTCTGCTGGTCCCTTTATGACCTACAGCACAGTCCTAAGTCTGGGCAAACATAAAACAAAACATTTAAATGACATGCTGTCAGTCGTTAACCAGCATCTAACGAATCCAGTACTGCACTATTACAGTCAAGGCCAGTGCAGGTTTCAGGGAGCCCCGGGTACTGTTGCTTTGCCCGCTTCCCAGCTAGCACCACCTAGAGGACTCCAGTAGGCCTTCTGCAAGCTTACTGGAGATGGTAGGATGGGGCATGCAGCCGCAGGGATCAGCAGGAAATGTTGCAGGTGCACTACCTGGCACTCCATGGAAAAATTCAAGGTGAGGCATCTGAGCCATCAGCACCCTGAACCCAAAAGCAATGAGATGTTGACTGCAACTGCCTTGCCTGATACTTCTCTTCAAGCCACAAGCCATTAAAGACAGGCAGGCAGGCAGACAGGCAGGAGCTTTTAAAATAATTAAGAAGAAAGACCAGCTTCAGTAGTTCTGAGCATTTGTCTCCCCATGCTGGATGCTGGCACTGGGTTCCATAAGGTAAGGCCAACAGTTGTAGAGCAGCAGAAAAACAACCCATTATATCAGTATGATTTTTTTCACCCAGCAGAGCAACAGGAGCAGGGGGGAAAGGAGCACTTCTAAAATGTGCAGCAAAGGAGTTGTGCTTTCCATACTTTGCAATGGGAGGAAAGCATTTGAGTGTACACTTTAAAAATGCATGCCTAAATGCACACTTTTCCCATTCAAAAAGAAGGAAGCAAGTCTTCATTTCAGAACAAGAATAGGGTAGACTGAGCTTCAAGGTAGAACATGGAGAACATCAAGAAGCTCCAGCCTTTCTGATTTGTCCATCTCTAGTTTTTAACTTCATAGTGTATGTATACCTAAAAACAAAATATCCATCGCCTTGATACAGCCACATTTGTTTATAATCTTTTATGAACAAAGCATGCTCTTAGCATGTTCTTTGGTGCTGAGACCACAACAGCTGATATTAGTGAGCAAGTAGAATGTGTGGTGGGTACACGGTTCAGGGGCTTCGTCAACATTGGTCAGGTTTTTTTTAGCATATTGGCAGATAAACAGCCGCATTATACATGAAGCCCCTCCAATTCACAATGCGAGGTCTTAATGCCCTTCTAAAAACCCATTTACCTCATTTCATACTAATCCAACAGACAAAGGTGAGGCTTTTGGATCTCAAGATAAGCTATGAAAGTTCTCAGAAGGAAAGCCCCCATCCCCATCCCTACCCCCGTGACCACTGATAAGCTTCTCAAGAGGTTTGAGGGTCCTCCAGAACAAAATGGGGTGAGGGCTGCAGGGAGTAAGAAGGGATAGGAAATATCTGTGAACCTGCTTAAATTAATTTATCTTGGGATTGGCGCCCAGTTTGAAGCATTTCCTCCCTACCTCAGCGGCTGCCCTCCCATACTGCCCTGCCCAGCCTTCTAATGAAGACTTTTGGGCAGACTCAAGAGGCCGCAAGTAATTTCCTGCCCTGGATTTCCTTATGTTAACTTAAACTCACATCCTAAATTATCTCCCTCCCACTGCTTCCATGTATACAGATATATACATACTAATGTTGCATAATAGTCATCTGTGTAAATGAACTTTGTTCCCTGTTACTTTTTCTGTTTCTGAAAGGCACATGCCTTTTTGCTCTGCATAAATAACCCTCTGTTTGGGGAAAGTCCAAAAACATCAAGAACCAAGGAGCAGATCTGTTGACACTGGCAGCAGGCCCACCATACCATCTTATGGAATATAAGGTTCATAGAAAAGATTTGCGGGGTGGAGAAAGATGGGATGGGCAGGTAGTGAGGAGGTCACATTCCAAGTTCCTTGTGCAGATCTTTTGCCATTTCTAAGGCATCCTAAATGCCCCGGACATGAAGATAGGGTATCACGCGCACCCCAAAAAACCCTAGTTCTCCTTGTCTTTCTCACTTCTGATTTCTCATTCCTGCCATCCAAGCACAAAGATGCTGAGCTCCCACAAGATGCCACAGGAGGGATAAACAGCAGCATTTCAGGGTAGCCATAGATTCTCTCTTTTTAGAAGGCAGTCCTCTGCTGGAGAGGGTGCCGGAGGACTTTCCTCTACCTGAGGGCCACTCTGCTTGAAGGGGTGTAGTGGCCCATTCCAGCTTTAATCTGTGAGTGCTTGGCCAGCAGCCCTCCCGATCACAGTCTTCCACACTATACTGAGCTGCACTGTACTGTTTTTCAAACTATAACCATTGTTTCTAAATTTGCACCTGCCTGTTATAAATTAGCATATGCATATCTCATGCAAATATCTGTCCCTCATTTATTCTCTTTTGTGATGAAGCACTTCCTCTTCTTTCACGATTCCTCGGTGGTCACCTGATGCAACATGCCAAGCTGGGAACAGGGTCTGGCGTTAGCACACTCGGGTCTCTTTCCTGCCTGGCGTCTCAGTGCAGCCTGATCACCGACTGCATGAGCCAGAGGAGAAGCAGCACTGAAGGATCTGGGTGTGGGGAATAGGTAGAGACTGTAGGAAAGCAGCCCGGAGAGGCACTGTGTCTCATCCTGTTAGACTGTTGACATCACAGTCAACAACAGTCATTGTTATCCTGTTAGGTCACTGGCGGACAACTTGTGGCTCCAGCCGTCTGTGTTGCATGGGGGGAGGGCGGTGGGAGGTTGGCACAAGGCAGTAACTCTAGCAGAGCTTTATTTAAACCCCCCCTACATCATTTCTCCTATCAAAACCTTTCCCCACACAAATCCCTTCTCCAAAATCCTCTCCAAATACTTTCGACTGCAGCATTCCCAAACTTTGGCCATGCTGG